CGATAAAAATCATGTAAAATAATAAGGTGGACTACTTTTTGGAAGCTTGTTGGGGATAACTTACTAACTTTACTATCTCATCCAGTAGATTCACTTGAATGGACGAGTGTGTAGGCTGAAATGTAGCGCCAAGGAAAACCCAGGTGAAAGAAGCAAAAAGTCAGGCCTAATTGAGGCCTTAAAGGGATTTAGGAGCATAGATGCAGAAGTGGGAATAAATTATAATGGTCCAATAATAATCCATTAAGTATCAAAAGTAAATCTAAACAACGGGCTTAAAAACACCATCAATCACCGAACTTATAGCATGGTTACACTTTTGCCCCAAAATTTCTTTCATTCTGAATGAGTTTTAAGATTTTCAATTTGTTTCAAATTAGCCACTTCATCTATGTCCATCAAATAAGCCCAGTGAATGCTAAGTAATTCGCTGAATAAGCACTCTGAATTACAATAGTCACTTGTCACGAAGAGCTTGACTCTCAAAGGCGTCACCACACTTTCTCTCATCTCTCATGCTAAAAATTAATCTAAGTTGAAGTACAAGGAGTCCATATGTAAAAAACTTTCCTTTTGTTGTTAATCATCGAATATGTCACTAATATGTATACGAAGTACCTCAAAGCACATATAGGGAATAAGTGATATAATCCCTCTTTTCTATTTCTTCTTTTCAACCACACATATTCAATAAAATAATATTACATGTAAATCCAAAACATTTCTTTATTTTTTAGTTACACATTATTCGTCAATCACTATTCAAAAATGTATTATTTGTCAAACAATGATTTCAAAATCTTTTAGGTGGAGAAAGATTCTACATAATTTAATTAATTATGTTTTCGTAGTGTGTAAAATATATTCCTTTGACTTCAAAACTTCAAATGCTGATTTAATCATTTGTTGAATGCTTTATATTAAATTCCTTGTANNNNAATGCTTTATATTAAATTCCTTGTAAATATATAATGGGGAGAATTACAATGACAAATATTATTTCAATTTTACCTTTGATGCTAGATTTATAACTTTCTTAGTTTTGTGTTTTCTTCTTTTTAGTTTGAATAAGAATATGAATTTGTTTTTGACTTAATTTTTCCCCCTTTTGACTTAAGATTACTTTATTGTATTCTTGGTACTATGGTAAGAATAATTGAACTTTCAAAAACTAACCCAAGAATACTTTAAAATTGATTGCATTGATTGCATGCCAATCAAGTCAAACAAAGAATCCGAAGTTGATACGAAAGAAAAATCATTATTTACAAATCTAATCAAACTATCACCAAAACTTGAAGGAGACACCATAAGTACGACGAACGAGGTCAAAACAAGAACCTCAAATACGTTTTATAACCAAGCCTATCAAGGATAGACCATGTTTAACAGTAACACTCTGAAAATCCATGAATTATATCAATTACTCCACTAAAAGATGAAGGAGTAAACGACTAATTAACTAGGAATGTTGGCACACGAGGCTTAGACAATTTGATGAAAATAAATTGAATTTTGCTATTTGTACATCGGGGTCTCACAATAGGGAGAGCCACGTCTAGTAAAAAAAATCATTGACCCTCTTATTATGAGGTGGGCTATACACTGGGTACCCATAGCAAAACCCAAATAAATTTAATGTAAAAGTAATGGGGGTTTTCTTTAAAACAAGGTGTCAATACCATAATCACCAATCTAAAAACAGCCACGGAAAGATCAAAGTCCAGATTGAGCCACTAAAAATGTCGAAAGATGATTCAAGTTTAATCGACTGTCAGAAATGGAAAAATATATGATGTACACATGCTTGAATGAATTTCCAACAGTCCCAACTTGATTAAGCCAAATAGAGAAGTTTGGCAACATGAACAGCCAACGTCCAATAAAATTTGAATTAACCTGAAAAAAGACCTGGTCGGACCCAAAAAATAATAATAATAATAAGAAAAAATAAGAAAATTTGGCCAGACTAACGGCATGAGGTCCCTCATTGAAAAACGGAAGTTTTGAAGCTCAATCAAAAATCAATTTAAATTTGCTCTCATACTATGTTAGAATATTATAAGCTCCAGCCGGGTCGCCACAGCAGAATGAATCACCATAAGTATTCCAACTCCACTTGAGTTGTCAAACTTGCTTGAATCACCATGAGAAAAATGATCAACAAGATCAATATCATTACTCGAATTACAATGAGCAACCCAATCACAATCAACTCTACCCGAGATACCTCTTATCGAACCATAAGCTACAGTGCATTCAAAGTGATCGTCGAACCTTCCAAGATATATAACTGATCCTTACATTGCTTCCCCTACAATATCCAAACAAAAAATCTGCCATAACAAAAAAATCTTGTTGTGATTCAAAAGCGGAATTTCATACTTCATACTTGCCATCTCGAAACCATCAAACATTATTAATCAAACATTACTTTAATATAAGACCAAACTAGCTCTCCCAAGAACTGCCCGAACCCTGGGCTCTGATACCATTTTATTGAGAAATCGGGCCAAATGTTTAAAGGCAAAAATAATATAAGTAATATGAAAATAATGGATCACAAAAAAAAAAAAAAAA